TGTATACATTGTATTTTAGACATAGTGCTATTGCACACTTAATAGACCACAGTATATTATAAATATTAGTTTTATATGCACGAGGAAGCAAAACATATTGTTACTCACTTTATTGCAATATTCACTTTTTTGTGGTGGTCTGGAATAGAAACAGCAACAGAAACACGGTCTGCCTGCATTTTTAGTTTTGCATATAGAGATCTTGCACATATTTAGCAAGATTTATTTATGAGTATTTAGATAATTAAATTACGATGTCAACAAATATAGAAAAATTCCAAATTGATTTAATAGTGAAAACTGTAAGCTAGTTCTGGGGATTGCCAAGGTGTGGCCCCTGCTCCTTCTGAGGGCAGCCTGCATCATAAACATGTCAGCATAATTTATTGTGAGTATATAAACAGACTCCAATCTCCTCCAGCCAAAAGACAGAAAAAGTAGAACATGCCCAGTAGCCCAGTATTTAATTATGAGAGTATTAGAACTCCAGAGAAGGTTAACATCTCAATGCAGCCAGGTCTGCTATGCTAAGATTAAAGCCATGATTAGTAAAGAAAAGGACTCTGGGGTGTGAAATGGGGGCATTTGCAATAATGCACTTGAAAATACTGAAGCTCCAGAATCCCCTTAACTATCTGGATGCATAGAAGTGGCATATTCCTTCTTGTGAGAGACTATTGCTTATCATTGCTTGAAGTTAATGAAAAGTCCTCTGCCTTATAAAACAAAACATGATTGTCCCCAACTGCTCTCCTGGTCACCAGATCTATAACTATTTCACAACAGAACTTATTAAGAAAATGTTGGCTTTCTAAGGGAAAGGGGACAGGACTTATATCCTATATAGAACTGCAGGATCTAGCTTAAATTCACTGTCATGAACTAAGATATGTACAATTAAACTGGATACTGAGGGTGCTGGATCAAGTGAGTGGAATATAATGCATATTACACGAAAGACTACAGGAGACAGTGCTAATACTTTGCTAGGATAGCCCTTAGAATACTTGGTGAAAGAGATGGCCTACATTAAGTGACTTACAAATGCTGAAATTGTTAAAGTAGATTGGGAGGAAGGACACAAACAGATCAAAAAGTTAGTTTGCAAGATTAAACCATATTACGTAAGGCCAGAACACCCATAAACTGACAAAAAATGGATACTTTTATCAGAGAAATGAGGAATGTACAAATAGTGGGGAATAGTAGTTAGAAAAGCTTTCTCTCCTCTACAGGTCAGAGATCACAGCAGGAGTTAACATTTCAGAATTAAGTTCATGGAGAGCAAGGGGATGATAGAATAATAATAGAAGTCAGATGGCAGATCTTAATTCTAGAAAGAAGAGTTGTGAAATTAATATAAGTGGCAAAGCTAGAGTGGCAAAGAGACATGTCTCCACACAAATATGAAGATGGTTAATTAAAAACTTGAGTTGATAGGGACATATATATATGCATATACACATATTAGACCCTGTCTCTATAGGAAGCTGCATAGCAGAGACAGGGTCTCACTATGTTTCCCAGGCTGATCACAAACTCCTGGGCTCAAATGGCCTCCAAAGTGCTGGGAATATAGGTATGACCCCGGCACCCAGTCTATCACTCCTTTTCTACTTTCTGAAAGTGTATGACTTTATTTCTTCAGTGTTTGACAGATTCACCAGTGAAGCCATCTGGACCTAGAGTTCTCTTCACAGGAACAGTTTTGATTACTAATTACTGAATAGATTTAGAAAAATTCATAATTTTTACCTTTTTTTTAGTGATCTTTGGTAGTTTGTGTCACTCAAATGAAGTATCAATTTTAGCTAAATTGCCAAATTTATGTGCATCAAGTTTTTCACAATAACATTATACTTTTATTACCTATAAAATATCTAGTGATATCACATCTCTCATTCCTGTCATTCATCAGTTGCCTTCTTTCTCTTTTTCCATTAATCTCACCAGAAGTTTATTAGTCTTTTACAGATCTAACTTCTGATTTTATTAGTTATCTCTCTTTTATTTTTCTCATTCATTAATATTTGTTCTCATCTTTAATATTTATATTTATCTACATACCTTGGATTTAATTTGCTTTTTAAAAAAATTTTTCCATGATGGAAGCTTAAATGATTTTAAATTGTTCTTCTTTCCTAATATCATTTACGGATACAAATTTTCCTCAAAGCACAACTTTAATGTCATTCTACTAATTTTTATAAGTTTTTAAATTTTATTTTGGCTTAAAATATTTTTCTCACTTTTCTTATGACTTCTCCTTTGATGCATAGATTACTTAATGTGTCTGAAATTTGCAAATATTTGAGAAATATTTTAGGCTGAATAGCCCCCAATGATATCTGCATAATAATCCCTGGAAACTGTGAATGTTACCTTACATGGCAAAAAAGACCTTGTAAGTATAAAATTAAGGGTTTTAGATGGGAAGGTTATCCAGTATTACCTGGGTATATTCTAACTGTAATCTCAACGGTTTTATAAAACGAAAACAAAGGGAGACTTGAATACTTAAAAGAAGACAATGAGACAACAGAAATAGATTTTTGAGTGATGTGGCCACAAGCTGAGGGATGCTAGCAGCCACTAGCTGGTATAAGAGACAATAGTTTCTTTGTCTGGAGTCTCCAGAAGAAGCCAGCCTTATCAACACCTTGATTTTATACTCATAAGACTCATTTTGTATTTCTGACCTACAGAATTGTATGAAAATTATTTGCTGTTTTTAAAGCAAGTTTATGATAATTTGTTTTACAGAAGCAATAGGAAACTAATAGTGGAATTTTACCAGATACCTTTCAGTTATTAATTTCTAATTTGCAATTTTAGTCTAATTATATATGCTGTAAGATTTAAGTATTTCAAAATGTATTGAAATCTATTTTAGGAGCAAAAATATGATTTATTTTGGTGAATATATGTCAGTATCAATGCATGAGACAGAATTCACACATATCTGCTTTCAAACATTGTATTATATATCTAAAAAAGTCTTTTATATCTGGGTTTGGATTTCTTTGTTCTTATTGTGCTTAGGTTTAGCTAAACTTCTTGGACCTCTAAATCAATGTGTTTTTAAAATAATATTTGGAAAATTTTTACCCATTATATGCTTGATTTTTATTCTCTTTTTCTTACGGAATTCCAATTGCATGTATATTAGGCCATTTGCTGTACTTCAACAGGTCCTGGAGGCTTTAATCACTTCTCTTCAATATTTTTCCACTCTCTGTTCTTCACTTTGAACAATGTCTATTGACGTTTTAGAGTTCACTAACCTTTACTTCAGCCAACAGCACTATTTATTCCTGCAGGGATTTTTAAATTCAATTATTTAACCCATCTGTAATTTATTTTGCTTTCAGGGCTAAAGAAGGAAACAATCTTCTAAATATTTTATCTTCCTTGATGGCTGGTTATCTCAAGGCAATTTATTGAATTAGACATTAGTTTTCAAATAGAGCTCCACAAAAATCTAGGTGACACTCTCTTTCTCTAGAGTCTATGCATTGCTTCAATGATTTCAAATGTACATTTCTGATCATGTCATTTCCCAAAAATTAACAGTATTGTAAACAAAACTCATTAGCACAATTTGGGCATTAAATGCCTTTTATCTAGGGGAATAAATAGTAATTGCAGTTCCCAAGCTAAAGTCTTATATGGTTATCTTGCAAAAATGGTGTCCTTTGTTTCTTCTGTAAATAGAGAAATTGCATACAGCTAAAAAGACTGAAGTTTTTAAGAAACCCAGGCTAATTTTTTATGCAGCTCAATTTTGCCAAAATATATCTTAATAAGTATTCTTTTTATCAGCCATTTAATTTTATCACAAATTTTATTTATTTATAACACTAAATTTTCTTGACATATGATTTTTAGAATATTATTTATGTAACATGGTATATATTCATCATCACTATTCCTTCCCAAAAAAGGGAATAAATAAATAAAGATGGAACTTTAATTCTTTCTTTTCTGCCAATGTTATTGAACCAGAAGTTTCTACCTCCAAAATCAATTCTTAAATTCAGGCTTTTGTCTTTCCTCAACTTGTCGTGTGTGTGTGTGTGTGTGTGTGTGTGTGTGTGTGTGTGTGTAGGGGGATGTATATATCTGTATGAGAGGGAAACAGAGAGAGATAGAATGATAGGGTTTTTTAATGAGAGAAAAGTTGTGGTCAGTCTTATGTATTAAAAAAAAACTTTTAATAAACTAAAATCATAATAGGTTTTGAAGCACTGCTCAACAGTACCACCTGCAGGGGTCAGTAATAACATGTTTTTTCTTGAGCCTGGCACCCTTTTCTATTAACTGTTCAAGGGAAATATATACATACCATAGGGTAAATAGAAAATAAATTGCTATACTATTTTTAGCTTAATATTGGTAATCATAAATGCACAACTTTCTAAAATTTGTGACTTATATACAAAGACTAGGTGAAGCTTCATTTTCTCCCTACAACCAAACTTTAATATTACCACAAAACAGGCAACAAGTCAAAGACATGACCGAGTTGTGATATACTCAATGGATAAAAACACGAAGACTAAAGAGCAGTGTTGCAAGGATTTAGGCAAGGCATTCCTTTGTAAATTTGACATAGTGGAGATACAAAGCAAAAGTTAAACAAAAAAAGCTTTTTGGAATTGCTCAGAGGTAGGACCTGTGTCCTTTTACAAAAATAATTTTATGCAGTATAATAAGATTCTCTTTTACACCACTTTAAATCTCCTTTTCCCCCCTTCTTTTTCCAGCCACTGCTGCAGGGAACAGCTCCAAAGCTTGGATCAATTTTACACAAGTGCAAATTGTCAGTACCTTTACCTCGGGTTCAAATCATGTAACTTTTACATGTAACCTAGGGCTCCTCACACTGTTTCTCACCGGGTTTATTTTGCACTGGCTTAGTGGAATGTCTGCCTAAACTGCTCAGAACTCACGTGAAAGTTTGTGAAAGTTAATATTCATGTGATTACCTTGACGAATGGAGGATGGAAATCACTGGATAAATGCTTTCTCTTCTCTTCCCCGAGGGAGACAATTTGAGGTCCACTTCATAGAATTCTGCAGAAAGGTACACTGGATCAAGAACTAGTCATTCATGCTGTCAGACAAGTTGATAATGCATTTCTCCAAATTGGCGGGGTTTTTTTCCTCCCAGTTACTCTCCTCCCTGTACCTCACCCCTAATCTGTGGAAACATATTCTCACATGAAATACTTATATATTATTTTCATCTCACTCTCTGCTTCAAAAGTGAAACCCAGCCTAAGTAAATAGAAGAAGAAAAACTCAGTGGCGGTACCCTTTAATTTATCATCACCGCATACTCTAGAAAATAACCTGAGTCCATTAGATTAGCACCTTGCCTCAAACAAACAAACAAACAAAAAGCAAGAAGAAGATGGAGAAATAAGCAAATTCTTCTTCTTCATTCATAAATGACTGTCAAGAAACCTAAAGTTTGGTGGAAGTAAAAATCTACTTCAAAAAAGTCAAAGAAATGAATCATTAAGATATGTAATATTAAGTACTGCAAAAGTGTTCCGGGAAAAGGGAGGCTGACAGGATTCCTACTGGAGAAGGCCTCATGACACAGGGGTCGGGTGTGTCTTAAAAATGGTTTATATGAACAGAAACTGTAAGTTATTCTAGGAATGGAATTTAGAATGGGTAAATGGGAGCATTTTATGCATAGTTGAAGAAATGTGCATGATGAGTGAATGGTAGGATTGAATCGGAGAAGTAGGGTAGCAGTCAAGTTGATTTGCGCTTCATTTCCTTCTGTAGGCAATCTGCCCTTCCTTCCACATCTCTCCACCAGTTATGAGCATGCATGTTTTCTGCATAAATTTGATTCACTTACCTGCTTCTGGATTCTTGGTTTTCACCACCCAAGAAGACTTCTGTCTTTGGTTATTATCTGGCTTCTTTCTAGGATCCATACATTTTCATGGTTTTAGCATATGTAAAGCTTTGCCACAGCTGCTTTAATTCATCACCACATACAAATTTTACTGCCTGAGCCAAGACTGTCCCTTCCTAAGAGAGGAAAAGACAGAGTTAGAAATGTAGGGTGGAATCAAGTTTGTAAAGAGTCTCTGGCAAATGAGAAGAGGTTGGACATTATCACTCAAGTATAGGTTCAATTTCTGGTTCCAATTTAAACATCAAGTCCAACTCCTTTTATATTATAGCTTCCTAGGACTTAAGAGATGCTTAAGGCAAGAATAAGAATAAAGAGATTCAAGACTGGCTGGACACACTGGCTCACACCTGTAATCCTAACACTTTGGGAGTCCAATGCTGGAAGATCACTTGAGGTCAGGAGTTTGAGACCAGCCTGGTGAACATGGCAAAAACCCATCTCTTATAATAATAATAAAAATAATAATAATAAAACAGAACAAATCAAAAATACAAAAATTAGCTGGACACAGTGGCTCACACCTGTAGTCCCAGCACTTTGGAAGGCCAACGCAGGCAAATCACTTGAGGTCAGGAGTTCAAGACCAGCCTGGCCAACATGGCGAAATCCCTCTCTACTGAAAAAAAAAAGAAGTACAAAACTTAGCTGGGTATGGTGGCACATGCCTGTAATCCCAGCTACTTGGGTGGCTGAGGCATGAAAATCACTTGAAGCCAGGAAGCAGAGGTTGCTTATTCACTATCACAAGAACAGCATGGGAAAGATGTGCCCCATGATTCAATTACCTCCCACGAGGTCCCTCCCACAGTATGTGGAAATTCAAGATGAGATTTGGGTACAGACACAGCCAAAGTATATCATTCCACTCCTAGCCCCTTTCAAATCTCATGTCCTCACATTTCAAAACTAGTAATGCTTTCTCAACAGTCTTCCAACAGCTTACCTCATTTCAGCATTAATTCAACAGTCCATGGTCCAGTCTGATCCAAGACAATGCAAGTCCTTTCAACCTATGAGCCTGTAAAATCAAAAGCAAGTTAGTTACTTCCTAGATACAATGAGGGTATAGGCATTAGATAAATACAGCCATTCCGAATGGGAGAAATTGACCAAAACCAAGGGGTTACAGGCACTATGCAAGTCCAAAATCCAGCAGGGCGGTCAAATCTTAAAGTTCCAAAATGATTCCCTTTCACCCCATGTCTCACATCCAAGTCAAGCTGATGCAACAGGTGGGTTTCTGTGGTCTTGGGCAGCTCCACCCCTGTGGCTTTGCAGGTACAGCCTCCCTCCTGGCTGCTTTCACAGGCTGGCACTGTCTGTGACTTTTCCAGGTACATCGTGCAAGCTGTCAGGTGGATCTATCATTCTGGGGTCTGGAGGATAGTGGCCCTCTTCTCACAGCTCCACTAGATGGTACCCCACTAAGGACTCTGTGTGGGAGTGCCTACCCCACATTTTCCTTCTGCATTGCCTTAGCAGAGTTTCTCCATGAGGGACCCACCCTTGCAACAAACTTCTGCCTGGGCATCCAGTCATTTCCATACATCTTCTGAAATCTAGGTGGAGGTTCCCAAACCTCAATTCTTGACTTCTGTGCACCTGCAGGCTCAACACTATGTGGAAGCTGCCAAGGCTTAGGGCTTGTACCCTCTAAAGCAACAGACAAAGCTGTACCTTGGCTCTTTTAATTCATGGCAGGAATGTCTGGGATACAGGGTAGCTAGTCCCTATGCTTCATACAGCAGAAGGACCCTGAGCCCAGCCTATGAAACCATTTTTTCCTCCTAAACCTCTGGGCCTGTGATGGAAGGGGTTCTTGTAGAGATGGCTGACATGCCCTGGAGACATTTTTCCCCATTGTCCTGGAGATTAACATTCAGCTCCTCATTACTTATGCAAATTTATGCAACTGGCTTAAATTTCTCCTCAGAAAATGGGATTTTCTTTTCTATCACATTGTCAGGCTGCAAATTTTCCAAATTTTTATGCTCTGCTTCCCTTATGAAATTGAGTGCCTTTAACAGTACTCAACTCACCTCTTGAATGCTTTGCTACTTAGAAGTTTCTTCCACCAAATACCCTAAAATATCTCTCTCAAGGTCAAAGTTCCACAAATCTCTAGGGCAGGGGAAAAATGCTGCCAGTCTCTTTGCTAAACCATAACAAGAGTTACCTTTTCTATATTTCCAACAAGTTCCTCATCTAAGACTGCCTCAGCCTGGACCTTATTGTTCATATCACTATCAGCATTTTTGTCAAAGCCATTCAATAAGTCTCTAGGAAGTTCCAAATGTTCCCACATTTTCCTTTTCCCTTTTCCTTTTTCTGAGCCCTCCAAACTGTTCCAGCCCTGCCTATTACACAGTTCCAAAGTCTTTTCCATATTTTTGGGTATCTTTTCAGCAATGCCCCATTCTACTGGTGCCAATTTACTGTAGTAGTCCATTTTCACACTCCTGATAAAGACATACCCAAGACTGGGCAATTTACCCAAGAAATTTTTACTGGACTTACAGTTCCCTGTGGCTGAGGGGGCCTTACAATCATGGTGGAAGATAAAAGGCATGTCTCACATGGTTGCAGACAAAAGAACTTGTGCAGAGACGTTCCCTATTTTAAAGCTGTTCAGATCTCATGAGACTTACTATAGCTAGTACAGCACAGGAAAAACCTGCACCCATGATTCAGTTACCTCCCACCAGGTCCCTCCCACAACATGTGGATATTCAAGATGAGATCTGGGTAGGGACATAGTCAAATCATATCAGCATATGACAGGGCAAGAGAGGGAGAAAGGAGAAAGAGGGAGAAAGGTGACATGTTGTTTTAAACAACCAGATCTCATGTGAACTCAGAGAAAGAACTCCTCATTATTCCAAGGGCAGCACCAAAGCATTCATGAGCAACCCACCCCCATGACACAAACACCTCCCACCAGACCCCACACCTCCAACATTGAGGATTACACTTCAACATGAGATTTAGAGGGGACAAACATCCAAACCATATCAGTGAGAGAAAAAAAAATCATGATTCTTAGGTTTCTGCTTTGGGCAAATGGATATCTTTTGGAAAGGAAAGTGGGAAATAAAATGTGAAGCTTTATAATCTAGCTTCTAGTACTCATCTGTTTGGTGACATTTTGTGATCTCTAAGCTTCACTCACTCTGGACCCCAAATATTTTCTAATTATAGCACATGGCAAAAGACTCAGATTCTGGATTCAGCCTGTGTGAAAATTCTGATTCTAACACTTTTTAGTTGTTTGACAAAAATGTTTAATTTCTTTGTGCCTCAGTTTTTCTTTTAACCTGTGAAGTGGTGATAATAATTACACCCAACTAATTGGGTTGTTGTGAGGAATAAAAGACTTCTTACATGGAAAATAAGTGAAGCAGTGTCCAGCCCACAATAAATAAATACTCAGGAAGTATCAACCATTAACACCTAGATTTCTTTTCTTTTTTTTTTTTTTTTTAAAAAAGACAATTTATTTGCCAGTCAAAATCTTATAAAACTCAGCCCAGCCAGAATAGTGCCAGTCACTTTGTTTGATAAGAGGATTAAAACAGACAGGCTGAAAATAAAATTCATTGTATTTTGATTTTGTTAAATGTAGTTAACAATTTTATTTTTTATATATAAATACCTATACATTTGGAATTTTTAATGTCACTTTCAAGCATTAATTCTTCAAAACAGAATGTACCGATTATCAGGTAGGAAAAGATAACATAGCAGTAAGGATGCCCCATTTCCAATCTTAAGGGACACAACTCCAGTGGATCCCAACGTGAGTCATGCTATGCATAGGCTGTGCAGCTAAACAAGGAGGTTAGTGAATAGATTGATAAAAAGAGGAGGACATGGCATCTTATGACACACGGCAGCTTCCATCCAAATAATGTCAGCATAAACAGAACTCCTTGTTTCTCATGCTTAGCATGAACTATATGAGTAATAGCTAAGTAGCTCCTGTTTTCTTTGAAAACTGTCAATCCATTGGAATAAAAACCATTGTTATTTTAAGTTAAAAAAAAACCAATCTGAACATGTTTTTCCTGCATCAAAAGCTTGAATTATTCATTTTATGTTTAGATTCTCCAGGATACTTTCTTAGGATAACTTTTAGAATATGAATTTATAAATGAATATTAGGATATAAAACCAAGAAATTGAAAATATTAACAAATCATTGCAAGCAAGAAGTGTCAACTACTAATAATCATAAGAAAACTACAAAGAAATATGGGGTTACTCTTGTTTGTCATCTTCTTTTTAAATTGCCTCATAAACAATATGTAAATGTGCTAAAGCTCCTTTAAAAATGTTTTGTTGGGAGACGATACTCCAGTGCAGAGCATATAGTTAGAATTTATCTCTTGAAAGTATGAATTTTATATAGCTCAGGGACCATCCTGTCACAGTTTGCACCAATTTTGTTCCCTTAGACAGGCTTATTTCTGTCTGAATTTGCTAGAAGGTATGTCAGCACAATGAAAAATAAATAATAAAAAAGAATTAGATGAAGACAAAAGCAGTTATTTCTAGTCTCCATTGCCTTCCCAGGAGAATATATCCCAATAATTGGAGGCTCCATTGTTTTGTGAAAGTACAATAGGTGAAATGATGCAAGATTTGAGAAGCCAGTGTGAGGAAATACATAGGTCATTTATGTACATTATAGGTGTACATAAAGAAGAAAGCAAGCTAGAATATAAAATCAGACCCATGTAGAGACACAAAACTTTGGGCAGAACAGAAATGTCTCATGGTGACAATTTATAATAATTAAATTATTTAATAAAGTAATTATTGCTGTGTGATGTAAAATGTAAACTATTTTCTTCACTTCCCTCCAAAAGATTCTGTAAAATATGCAGTAATCATATATGTTTGGTGGACTGGATTTGCAACAAAGCCCTTGTCTTTTCTGAAGTCAAACAAAAACCAAGGCTGTCAGAAGAGACCATCACACGGAAAGATTGTACCAACAAAAGATAGACCAAAGGACTCTGAAATTATGGGAGGAAAATTAAACAGAGCTTTTTCCATTGTCATGTATCAGAAAACGTTAATATTTTCTAGAATGGCCTTTTATTCCACATTTTTTAAAATGAGATTTCATTAAAAAACAACAACAACAACAACTGGATATTAGGCTAGGCACAGTGGCTCAATCCTGTAATCCTAGCACTTTAGGAGACTGAGGTGGATGGATCACAAGGTCAGGCGTTCGAGACCAGTCTGGCCAACACAGTAAAACCCAGTCTCTACTAAAAATACAAAAACTTAGCTGGTCGTGGTGGCAGGAGCCAGTAATTCCAGCTACTCCTGAGACTGAGGCAGGAGAATCACCTGAATCTGGGAGGCAAATGTTGCAGTGAGCTGAGATCGCACCACTGCACTACAGCCTTGGCGACAGTGTAAGACCCTGTCTCAAAATAAATAAATAAATAAATAATAAAATAAACGATATTAGTAATTGCTTAAGCAGAGAACATATTTGTATGAAATAGAACAGTTGTAATTCAGTAGATGTTTGGAATTATCATTGAACACAAAAGAAACAGAAACCATTGTGTGAAGCAATATACAGCTGTGCATTTCAATGACAGGCTATTTTCCTATGATACGTTGGCAGCTGAAAGACAGGGATATGCAGGAGCTCTAGGAAGAGTACCAAGATGGCAATTTCCCCTTAGGTTACAAGCCAAAGTAGTTTATTTATTTGTTTTTTTGGCCTAGATTCACTGGGTACTGAGAAAGGTCAACATGTTAAAGCAATGTATTCAAAGATTTAAAAGGTTTGAAATAGCCTGGGCACTGGGGAGTCATTCTAATTGCTGCTTTAAATATCATTTGGGAAGGTCAAAAGGAGAGCCTACAGACGGACCACATTGGAGGGATAACCTCTGCCCGGCAGGCTGCAGGGCTACAAATCCCAGGGAAGCTCCAGGAATGGGGTCGGCTGCAATCTGCTGCCAGCCGGATCCTGTGCAGCCCACAGGGGAACATACCCGGAGAAGGACGAGCAGAACATGGCTGCCTAACAGATGGCACTGAAACCTGGC